GCCCAGAGGCACCGGGAGCAAAGCGGCAGCGGCGGCGGAGTCCCGTGACTCTGAGGCTTTTCCAGAGCAAAGCCTTGGAGGTGCGGGACCCCTCCGCCTCCCCGGCTTTGCTCTGGGTGTCCCTGGTCTGCTGGAGACAGTCCCCAGCAGACCAGGGGCACCCAGAGCAGCTTTTCTTGCCCCGGAGGTCGAGGTGGCGGGACCGCTGCGCTCTGGGCGGTCCCGCTGCCTTCGAGCTCCAGGGCGAGAAAGCCCCGTTCGTAAGTGCGGATCCGACATAAGTCGGATCCACGTAACTCGGGGACTGCCTGTACTGTGAAACTGTTTTTGCATATAATGATAGGGATTCTGTGAATCTGCTGTTATGTAATTTGATGCATTAGTTACTGGAAGCTTCTCTTCTATGTTTAAAGGGGGTAAAGGAGGATTGAAATATTATAAATAAAAGTCAGAGGAAAGAACAAGTGTTTGTTTTAAAAAAGTAATTTTTTTTTTCATTTATGTGCCTCAAACTTGAGAGACTTCTCAGAATTTAAGATCTGCAGTGTTAGCCTATTTCACCACTCATTGCAGAATGTTAAAAACCAGTTACCACTTTTTATGGATGGATTTTAACTTAATAATTGTTTAAAACAACATTTGTTTTCATCTTGTTAAATAGCCGTAGATAGGTTAAAGCCAGCCAGCACATTTTGCTGATCTGATAGTATGGCACTGGCCCTGGCAGCAGCTAGAACATTAGTTACACTTGAACCTCTTTAATCTAGAAACCTTGGGAAATAAAAATATCCTGGATTATAGAATTTTCTGGACCATGGGTGTTCATTATTATGAAGGGTAAACAACGTCTATTACTAAAGCTTTTGCATGTACAAACCATTATAGAGTACTGTTCATGAAGGGTAAACAACGTCTATTACTAAAGCTTTTGTATGTACAAACCATTATAGAGTACTGTTAACGTATAACATATCATAAGATAAATCCTTAATGCACTGAATTTAAATTGTTATTGGAGTTGGGGGTGCAGGGTCTGGGAAGGAGGTAGAGTGCAGAAGCATGCTGGAGGTGGGGGTGTGGGAGGGAGGAAGAATGCAGGAGTGTGCTGGGCGTTAGGGTACAGGAATTACTGCCAGTGGGAGTGGCTGGGACATTGCTTGCTGGGACATCCTTACAGTGTGCAGAGCTCCCTATGTCCTGTTGGAGATCTGGCACTCCCATCCCCTGCCCCCTCCAGTCCACACCCCACATCTCTACCCCGTCCTGCCCTCCTACCCTAGCCTGCTCCTGCACCCTCCCTCCTGCTAAGACCTCCACCCTCAGTCTGCTCCTGTACCCTCCCTCTTGCCCCAGACCTTGTTCCTTCTCTCCCAACCTGCTCCTGCACCCTACCATCCAAACCCTGCATCCGTATTGGGAGTAAGTCCTGAGCCTTGATGCTGTCCCTTACCCCATGAGACTGGAGCTTGAGGGGAGTGAGGGAAGTGTCTTTTTTTTTCCTTTTCTCATTTAGAGGCCACATCTGTGAAGGTTTTTTTTCCCCCCTCCTCATCAGGGGGGCAGGTCAGTGAGGGGGTTTTGTTTTTTGTTTTCCTTGCTTCTCATTTGTGAATGGTTCTCAGCTGATTTTTCTGTGGATCAATGGTCCCTGATCCAAAAAAGGTTCCCCACTCCTGGCCTACAGGTTGAATATGCCAGCTAATATTCTTTGTTACTATATCCTTTTTTCTAACTAAGTAAGGGAAATTCTATTTGACATCTGCACAGCCCTGAGACATTTGTAAGATGGTATAAAATGAAAAGGCAGAATTTAACCTGCTTGATAAAAGCGTGTTTTATTACAATTTGTAAATCAGTTTTAGATAAATAAAATTCTTTTGGCCAGAGCACAGTGTATTGCCCAACCAGTAAATCTAAATTGAATATGTTGCAGAAAAGTCTTTATCACCTTTAAGAACTCTGCTTCTGGCCAATCCATGAAAAACAATATTTTGAACTGTGGGGGTTCAGAACATTGAATGTTGCCACACAAGGTCTCTAGAAAGGGGCCAGGAAAGCATTTCTTAACTTGATGATTGTTTCATATAAAGTATGTTTATCCTTTAAGAACATATCCTCTTCTCCTTTCTGAAAGCAAATGGCCTAAATGGTAGTCACCAACATTGTCAATTTGTGTCATAGCTGTTTGTATACGTCTCTAAAGTGGCAGTGGTGTTAGTGCCATAAAGAGATGTCAGAGAGGACCCTGGTCACTTGGCATGACATGAGCTAAAAGCTTGATGTATATGATGGATCAAAAAACCAAAATAGCTGGCTAAAAGTGCATAATAATTTCTTTTGACAGAACAAACCTGTTATGGCTTTTGGACTCATAACAATTACCCTGTGTGTGGCCTACATTGGCTATTTACATGCAACGCAAGAGAATAAGAAGGATCTCTATGAAGCTGTTGATGGTGAAGGAGCCAGGTATATGAGGAGGAAGACTTCCAAGTGGGATTGAAGAAGCTGCTTAATAACAGAGAAAAGAGAGAGGAGTAATTGACAATGTAGGCATCTGATTTGTTAATGTTAAATTAGGTGACTAACTGTTCTATGCAATTTTTTGAATGATGTATATAAAATTAAGTCCCATTTCCATTCCATTTTACAATGCCATACCTGTATCTATAAACTTTACAGAAGACATACACAGTAATAAAAGGGATAAGAACTGTTGTCTGAGTTGATGATTACTAATTCATGTTAGTAGATATCTTTTATGTAGATAAAAAGAAATAAGTAAGTGTGAGGTTGAAACTACAGTGATAAGTGACTAAAAAATTCTGTGATCGTTCAATTCATATTTTTATGGTCTGTTTTGGTTAGAAGGAAAGCAGTTTTAAAATTCAAGGCACAATTTAAGAAGAGGTAGTTTGAGCTGCAAAATATATATGTTTTTCATATCGCAAATAAAGATATTTTTAAAAAAATGTAAAATCTTTTTTTTTTTAATCTAGAAATCTGTAAATATTGACCTAAAACAACTATTCAAAATGATAATTTACTCTGTTATACAAATCCTTTGTTAGGATGTCCTTTTCTGTCAATCTCAGTGATTGGTTAATTTATAAATTAGTTTAAAAACTATTTACCTTCATTGGAAAACATGTGCCATCTATTTCTTGTTAGTTACTGGAATCAGGGTAGTCTAAAATGCACAAAATTTTTAAATGGTGGGGGGTATTTTCTTAATATAAAATATAGTTTATGTATTTTTATATTAATGAAATATACAAGTTAACCGTAATTCAACCTCCCTGTGTATCTGTGTTATGACCAAATCTTTAATTACGTGATCGCATACTTTTTTTTTTTTACAGAACCATTACCTCTTTCAGTTTCCTAATTTTTTAGTGCTTCACTTTGCAACCTAAATAATTTTCCTTAAACATAGCTTTTTCTGTCAATTTTCCTATGTTCTCAACTAAGCCAACTGATAAAACTCTATAGAAATTCTGTCACGTGATGTCATACTGACACTCATATGGATCATCAGCAGGGTTGGAATCCACTGTACATTACTCTGCCATGTGATCTAATGGTTGTCTGTCATCCTCTGAAAATACTTGCACTAGATGGGAAGGAGGTACACTTTTCTAGATATTTGTTGACAGCAAAGGAATAGTGAGACAAGAATTTTGTGTTTCATTCCAAGCCCTAATGATCACACAGTCTTCTGCCCATTCCTCGTAAGAATGACCCTTTATACCCCATCCACTCCAACCTGGCCTGAACCTTTTTTTCTCCCTCCTCTGGGTCCTTGTCCCAGTTCCATTGTCACCTAGCCAGTCCCACTCTTCACTCCTAAAATATTTGGTTCTGGTCTTGCCCATCCAGAATCTGTCCCAGCCCCTCTCTCTCTTCCTAGTGCCCATTCTCCCCCTGCACTCTGGTTCCTCATTAGAACTGCCTCCTCTCCCAACTCAGCTTCTTTTCCCTGTCCCATGCCCAACTAGTAATAAGTTCCAATCTCTTTATGTAGTCAATCCCCTTCTCCTTTGGCTCATTTCAGTCTCTTCCCTTCTAGTTCCCAGTCCTCACTTATTTCTCTTGTACACTCCCAAACTCCTTTCCATTCAGTCACTGTTCCCCTTCCCAGTCCTTTTGTGCCTTAAGTCTGTCTTCTTGCCCAGCCAGTCAGTCATCTCCCTCATCCCAATGCCTATTTGTCCCCTCTATATTTTGCCAGCTTCCAGTTCAAGTATCCCCTCTATCTCCCACTCTATGCATGCTCCTTGTCCCAATCTACTCCCCTTACCTGCTCCCCTCCTATATGGTCCTCTCTGCATTTGAATCAGCAACTTCCTCCTCCACCCTCCAGATCCCAGCAAAAGGGTCAGGCAAGAGCAAATGAACGGCAGGTTCCCTGCTTTCAGTCCCACTGCCCAGATTTGGACCTGTCATAGCCCAGTGCTGTTACAGAAGGAAAAGCCTGCTCAGTAGTAGATTTAATTACTAAAATCTAAGTCTCTGCTGAGCAGGTTCAAACTGATTTTTGCAAAGGTTTATATAACTTGGCCAAATGTACTGTAAATTAGCATATATAACCTGCACTTGTGTAAAACCTGCACCTGTGCATAACCTGCGGTTTTTCCTGAATGTGTAAACAAGTTTTAGATAACCTGCAGACGTGTATAACTTGCTGGTTATATACGCTACTTTAAGGTAATTGCACACACCAGGATAAACTGCATCTTCTGTTAGGTAGCCAACCTGCTGCCAGCGGGGGGAATGTAGAGTGCAGCGCAGGTGAGCTGGCCAGCCTGCGGGAGGAGAGCTGCACTCGCGCCCAGGCTCCACACAGCTGCAGAAAGGCGCAACCCACCCTCCTCCGGGCAGGGGGGACGGAGAGCGCAATGCAGGTGAGTAAAAATAAACTTGTATATCCCACGGACATGTATACCCCGTGGGGGGTGGGTTTTGTAAAAATGTGTATAACCCACGAGTTATATACGCTAAAAGACGGTAGGTGGATTTTCAGAGACTGCACAATGCATGTTCCTAACACAAAGACCACTCTCTTCCAATTTTCAAATCCCTGCTCTAAGGCAAGGGGGGACTACTAAAAGGCGGGGTAGAATTTTTTAACATGGGCAAAACAAGATAATTTCCCCTAGTCTTTTGTTTTATAGGACAGGATAAGAAGGAGCCCCGAGACTGTCATTTAACAGCTATTATGTGGAATTTTAACCAGATGATTCTTCAATTCATTAAAATATACTAAGCCTCCATTTTTTCAATAGGCTTTAACTAACTTCAAAATCAATACTGCTGAAAAGAAAATTTTGTCAAATATTTAGTTTTAGTAAGGTTTTATGAAATAAAGCTTTAATATGGAGCCTAGGAAGTGATTCATTTCTTGTGAGCAAGAACTATTCTGAAGGGTTTTGTGATATATGGGAATAATGCAAAACTGGGTCCTTGCTGTCAAATTATATTTTATGGTGTGAAGGTGACCTGCAAGTGAGCTATAGTAACAGTGGAAGAAGGAGAGGGGAAGAGTTTAGAATTGAGTCAGGGAGAGAGGGGCTTGACGAATGCAGCCGTGAGACTACTGAGTGGAAGGTCTGGCTGGGAGGGGAGGTGTGGTATTTGCTGTTGGAGTAATTAGCCAAACTAATCCAAACCTGTGTGGCTTGAAGAAGGAACGTTCAGCCTAGTTTTTCATTTTTAACTCATAGTCATACTACCTCCTTATAGCAATTACTTTTAAAACAACTCTTAATCATACTTAGATGATATACCTGAAGTGTGGGTAACAATATGAATGCAAAGACGCACACAGTACCTTAATGGATAGTTCAGAAACATGGCTGACACTTGTCAGTGTAAATATCTGATTCCTGCTAATACAGTTTACAGTTACAGCAGTGTCAAAAAGGGTGAACTCAAGCCTTTCAAGCACAACTTCACTTACGTGAACTGGAAATAAACAAACAGCACCAATGTTTATTTTTGTTCTGTTTCTGTAGCCTTTTCAATGGAGGTAACAAAGTTTATAAGAAAATTCCTACCTTGACAAAAATAAGTGAAAATGGCTTCCTGAGTGAAGCTTTTCCATATTCCTTGCCACTTATGAGTCATTTGCCTCTTTAACAGAAAATACTATGATCTAAATATTTGAAACAGTATCCATTGCTAAATATTTTAAAAAACCCTTTAAGTTGCTTGGATTTGAGAGGAATTGTTGCCATTCCTTAAGTAATAAAACTAAACATACGATGAGATGCTGCTTAACACTACTCAGTGTCTGCAAATGCTTTTGTGAGCAAATCTTGTCCTGCCTAGTAACAGTTGCTAGGTAGGAGGTAAATTTAAGGCTATAAGAGGTCAGTTAAGAAATCCTCTCCCATCGTCAGTCAACATTATGTTATTGATCACCTCAGCACTTATGCCTCATGACCTGCAGGCAAATGTTTTAGACAGCATTCTAATGGTGGAAGATTTCATCTTTTAACTGGACTACATGTTTTCTGTAGATGCAGTAAGCATTTTGTTTGCAAGGACTTGGGCAGTTTGGACATTTTAGTAACTACCTTGAATACTTTATACAACCATGATTAGGAATCCAGATTTGAGTTCCTTTGTTTGTTGTGCTGTATGCTCAAAAATAATCCCACCACCACCTACATCTGCTACTTTTGAACGGATTCGGGAGTATAAGCCTTTCAAAACACGGTATTACACTCATCGGGATATATTAGGTAAGTTAGGTTCCTGAATTCTTCATTTGTAATTCTTCAATTGCAGATATCAAAAATGCTTATATATGCCTCTATTCTTGACATTTGCATTTTCTTTCAATGGCTTTTCGTGGTCAGAGATGGACACATGTACAGGTTGGACCTCCCTGGTCCAGCACCCTGGGGACCTGACCGGTTCCAGATGAGGGATTTTGCTGGACCAGGAGAGATTATTTGTGGACCTAGCTGCTACCAACCCACGACCGGCCACAAGCCCTGCTGGTCCCTGTCCCTCGGCCTGCCATGCCACAGGGCTCCTAGACACCAGCCCTTCACCAGGATTCTCTGGTCCTGGAACATCCGTGATCCATTGCTGGATCAGAAAGTCCTAGTTTATAGAGGTTCAACCAGTACTTCTTAATAAATATGGGCAAACACTATAGATCAAATAATTATTCTCAAGGTATTAAAGATGTGCTCACACTAGATGCTAAAAATCATGGCATCTAGTGTCATGAATTGAGACACTGGATTTATGGTTTATAACAATTTGTGACCTACTAACAACCTCCTTACCAACTTTTTTCCCCACTATGTCCATGGCTGAAGGGTTGCTAAACTATTCTATCTTTAATATTCCCTTGAAAAATGTCTTGCTAAATAATCTGTTCCACCTTATATTTAGTTGTTACATGCTGAGTGTGTTTCACAGATCTGAAGTTTACACAGCTAGGTGTAGAGTAGAAAGCTTGTCTCTCTTATTAATAGAAGTTGGTCTATAAAAGGTATCACCTGGACCCACATTATATCTGTTGGGAATAATTTCTGGACACACTGTGTGCAGGTGAAAACAAGCAGAGGATTTATTGATTCACACAGCTGGTGGAGTACCCATCAGGAGTTAACCTGGTGAGCACTAACTTAACCAAAACATACATTAGATTATATAGGTAGCAGATGGATGGAGGAGAAGTGATTTGATAGGTCTAGCAGCGGAAGTGAGATATGCACATAAGCCAATGGTCTACGACAGTTACACAGCATCTCCACCCATTGCCAATTAAACATGTTATCACTAATACAAGCTAAATAAGCCAACATAAACAAAGGCATGTTGATGGTCATTTTGTCAGCCGGAAATATAATGCATCTCCTGTGGGGGTGGTATTGCCTTGGCGCGATCTTTAAAATCCAAGCTTATTTTCTAGGAACAAAGCAGACAATGAAAAACAATCCCATGCGGTTGTTTGGTACCGGCCTTATCAAAGTGAGGCCCTTTTGGAATGTGGTTGCCAGGGGAACCAGGGTCACAGTAACTGCTGTACTATATGCTTCCCAGGGCTGGCCTAAGACTTTCAGTTTTGAGTTTGTCAGTTCTCAGCAAGATACTATGGGCTGCCTAATTTACCCTACAATATCTCTTTAAACTAGCTGTCATTCACTTATTTTCTTTGTATATACTGCCTTCATAGATTCACACTCACACTTATGTGAAGCTTATTAACAGAATTATTATTGCAACTAGCCTTGTGCAGTTACATACTTAATGTGTGCGCCAATCATGGAAATGTGCCTTCTTGTAACAAGTTTCAGTTCACTATACTTTATATACAGTATATCAGAGATACAGCTTCTATTGGGCTTTTCCCCCACATAAGCCAGAAAAAGATGAGGAAATTTTCAAAATTCAGTTTTCTCAACATTATATCACATGAAAGTCAATTCATGTAGAATAATGCAGCATGCAGCAAAGTAGTCAGAAACTACAAATTACACAGAGTATGATTTCTTATTAAAGATACATTACTGAATTATTTACTCACATACTACTTCTTTTAAGACATTAACAGATTCAGGTTTGATGACAGAAAGGAGAAAAAAAAACCCTAAGGTCAAATCTACATTTAAAATTTAGATTAACGTAGACTTAATGTAACAGGGACTTGAAAAATACACCATGGTTGAGTATTACAGTCAGGGGAAGAACACTTTCCTCGATCTATCCAATGGTACTAGGTGAAGTGACGTTTCTACAGTGACAGAATCACTGGCCCCTCAATGTCGGCTATGTCTACATAGGGTTATGCTAGCATAGCTATAGAACCGTAACTATGTCTCTAAAGTCCCCATAGTATAGATTTGGCTTGAATGGTTTGGGCCTGTATATGTAGTGTCGGGTACAGTGGGTGCTATTGTTGGTGCACACATTGATACATGTGGTTCCAAGCTAACATGGTTATAGTGAACTTCAGAGGTACTGAGATAGATAACTCTAGAGTTTGGCATCCTGTACTTTTCGCAAAATGGATACAACATTGGTAGTGACTGCAGACTCCACAATCAATATGTGCTTTAGTTCTGTTTTGGAGGGATTAATTTCTGGATTGAGATGGCAGGTTAGTCCCAAGACCACCTCAGCATTGATTTATCCTGTGTGTGCTGACAATGAGAATTAGTGTCAATGGTTGTAGAAGATGGGGTGCTGTCAATATTTATTTGCTAGGAAATAGATTAAGACCACTAGATTTATTTCATATATGTCACCAAACAGCCATAAATCAATAGAAATTATAGGTCCTCAATGCCTCATAAAACCAGGTGCCTAGTCTGTATGTTCTTTAGCAGAGTTCTTGTTTTTAAAATGGTGCATACATTTGACGTTGTATTAATAATGATATTTACATTATAAATACTGTGTGTAGTGAGGTTTCACACTACCTACCTTAATTAAAAATAATAATAAAGCAAGCAAAGGGGCAGGAGATTGTTTATGGCTTCTTTATACTTGTAACATGTTGTACATGAACCATTTCTGTTGAATATACATAGAACTCGGGGCAGATATTCAACAAGAACAATGTGAAAAAAGAGAACTAGAAGTAAAAGAACGGATTGAAAAAATTAAAGCTGAACTATTGTCTAAGGTAAATTAAGTTACACTTCTATCATTGAAATTAACCTTTATAATTCCTTTAAGATCTTTGGAATCTTTGTTGTAGCACCTAAATTTTATCAATTGATCAACTTGCCAAATCTAATCTCAGCAAGGCCCATTTTTAACATCATGAAGAATTTTAACAAATTTTACATCTCAATTTCCCTGAAACATATTCTGATTGCTGCTAAAAAATAATCAACATTTGTGGGCAATTCTTCTCCACACATGCTATGCCAGAGTTGCCCACTTTGCTTAAAATAGGTAACAAAACTATGATATCTCAATTTCATTTTGTGGTGCAGTATTAACAAATGCCCACTTTTTAATAGCGATCACTATACTGGCAATTTTCCAAAGATCAATGTAACAATTTTGTCAAATAGCTCAAAACACCACATATTTTATTATTCCTATATAGATTTATCTGGCTCTAATTTTACATTAAAAACAATAAACCAATTATAATAATATCTGATCCAAGTCGGAATATCATGTACATGGATTTAGCTCACTGCATTCAGATTATGATTGTTTTTATTATTTTTTAAGGCTGAAATGGAAAAAGAAGATGCAGTGCAACAAGCCCTTGATCAGGCAATAGAAGACCACAACTGTTTTTTAGAAGACCTAAAGAAAAAGCATGGAAAGGAAATAAAGGTTTGGCACCGCTTGCTTACATTTTTAAATTATGAAATATTTTATGGTAAAAATGTCCAACTATGGAATTGAGTCACATTTTATCAGCAATACATTATGTCACACTATATGTTTAAAGGCATTCTGTTTGTGCTCATACACTGCCATAATTTTGTTATACTTCAGAATTGAGTCCTGTTGGATGGGGTGGCTTGCCTTGAGAGTCACTGAGTTCTTGTGCTAGATTATTTGCTTCTGTCTGGTCATATACTTGGGTTAGCTAGTTCTTTCAGATCAATTTTTAGCGTTCTATACTTCCTTTTTATTGTATGAAACTTAGTTGCTTTGTCAGAAGCCTTATAAGACTCTCCAAGTTAGCAAACCACTTAAGCACATGCTTAACTTCAATCACCTGCTTCAGTTCATTTCTGCCCAGCACAGATGTTAAAGATGGGATTAATGTTCATCATCTTCTTAAATTCCATTGGCATCAAAGCTAAACAGGTGTTTATGGACACAAGACATGCCGCTCAGCATATAAACCACAAGAAGGGAAATAAAGTACAACAAACTCAGTGTGGTTATAAAGTATTTTAAGTATGGTAATTTCTTCGCTCTTTTTGTGATTAACCTAACCAGTGTTTAAGAATAACCTCTGGATCTTGAACAAGAAGAGCAGTAAATTGGAGAGAAGAGTAATAATAGGAAGGTGTATTGATTTAAATTGAGGTGATTTAATTAATTGATTTAAATCACAATTTAAATCACAAAACAAATCATTTATTTAAATCAAGTTACCAAAGTTATCGAGTATGCTTAGAGTGCATTTAATTTTGAGTAAGCCCCTGACTTCACTGGCATTTCTGTTTTTTGAGAAAACAAGTACAGAATGGGGTTCCCTTAAAAACGCTGAATTATGCTAAAGTAAAATAGGAAATAGACTTATGGTACCACTATTATGGTGTGTAGCTATAATGTTTCAAAATAAAGGGCATGTATTATATAAACAGGCATGTCCAAAGTCTGGCCCGTGGGCCAACTGCGGCCCGTGTTCTGGTTTAATACGGCCCCACAGGTAATTTGGCAATATCTATCTTTTATGGCCCCCAACGAATCCATATGTATTGAGATGAATACATTGTAAAATCTCAGTTAATGTCAGTTGGTCTAAATCAGTTATAAATATATTTGGACACAACATATATACTTGGTGTTATGTTCCTGTTCATATTTTTTGAATTTAAAAGTTGACAGACAACCTTTATTACCAATAATATGTAATGTACTTTACAATGTTCCTGACATATATTTCAGCTTCCTGGATTTATTTTCATCTGGCCTTCAGATATGAAAGGCAGAGTGATTTAACACCTGTTTAGATTTGTCATCCATGAGACAAAATGAAAAGTATGCCGTTTGCAATAAACTTTGCATAAAATAGTTAATTTGCATTTAATGTTAATGGTTCAAAGAATGTCAGGCAAAATGGTCGGCCCTCACGCACGTTTACTTCATCAAATCTGGCCCTCTTTGAAAAAAGTTTGGACACCCCTGATATAAAATAAGAAAATGACTAACTGGCAACTGACAACTCTAGATTCTCTTACTACAGCTTTCTATATTATATTCTTGAGTCATAGATTCTCAACCTAGTTAACTAATTAAACAAGCCATAAAGATTAGCTAAGCAATTTTTTTTCTAGCAAGATTCAATACAGAAAACAGCTTGGGAATTTATTTGTCAAATCACACTTATACCAAAAGGCATAGAGAGAGTCTTGAAGAATGATGCATTGCAAAGTGAATTATATAAGTTACTAACCAGCTGATCCACTCAGCCACATCCACATCATTTTCTCCCAATAAGCAGGTTTCCTTATGTTTCATTCTTGCAACTGGGCACTGCTTACTCCTGACACATTTTCCTTTTTTACCCAGGGGAAAAATTTCTTCAGACTATTTCCAGATAGGGTCTCTCTTACTCCCAGAAGTCATGATGGTTTTTCTGTGGTAAAAATGGAGAGGGGAATATAGGAAACAGAGTGTGTGCGCTGAATAATGTCTTCCCTTTTTCTTTCCAGTCCACTCCACTGTTCCTTTATATGCTGTCCCCATCCTTTCCTATATATTGTCTGTCTTTAAAACAATGCCTTAACTAACTCCTCAGCCATGCTTGGTCCAGGAGAATTATCAATGTCTTGATTCGTGAGGGAAGGGTGTTGAAGAGTGCAAAGCACACCAGCTTGTCCACCTCCCCACAAAAAACTGTGATCAAGCAAGATTCTGTCTTGGTCCCTATGGGGAGGAGGAGGTTAAGCAGTAGTGGGAGTTTAGGAGGCAATGGAGGAAATTCTTGTATAGTCAGAAAACGTATAGACTAGTTGTATTGGAAAAGACAGAGAAGGATCTGGAGTGCCACATATGTGGGAGAGTCGAGGCTTAGAAAAAGATCTAGATGTTAGTGGTAGATTAAGAACAACCAAAGGATAGCTTTTTGCTCTGTATAGTTGAGGGAGAGCATTACAATAGTATCTAAATGTATTATGAGAACTGTGGGGATCTGGAATAAAGTTGAGTGCCATTGCAACTGAGAGGGAGGCTTGAATTAGGGGCTTGAGAATACTGAGATGGGTCCATAACTACATTCTTTTAATTGTGTAATGTGTCTGCATATATGACAATATCTATGGAAGGGAAAATGTGTGTGTTGAGGTACTGATTGTTTTTCATTGGATAAATCTGAATTCCACCATCAGCTAATAAACATAAAAACATCATAGCTCTTTAATTAATGTTTGCGTTAGCACAAATTTGACTTTACAGCCCATTTGAAAGTCTACTTTTTGTTGGAGTTTCTGTGATGAACATTGTTTCTTGGTCCTGTACTCTGAGCCCAATCATCCTCCTGAGATCCTTGCACAGAGAATGCAAAACATGCAGCTGTGCCACTATCACTCTTTGAATGTGGGGAGGAGATGGAAATGAATCAATCACAGAGTCATCTCATTTGCCCCCTTTTTCCCTTCATTGGATTTTGAGGAGGATCTGAGTGCAGCAGTCCAACTCATACTAACATTTTATTTTCAATATATAAATTTGTATCTGTAATTAATTAAGGGCAAGGACACCCAGACAAGTGCCATAGCTTATTTCATTCATCATAGATTTCAGATGCCCTCCTCTTCACTGTGGCGATCTGGCTAATATGTGCAGTCTACACCTCTATATTAAATTAAGGGTGGTCACAAGCTGTAGTTGGCCAGCTGACCAGCCTGTGACCACCCCTAATCTAAGGCATAACAAGCCACTGGAATTTTCCTTTAATGATCTACTGAAATGCTGTTCTTTCCCTGAGCTTGGTTTTTTCTTTAAAAGCTGAGATTGAACAATACATTTTTATTCGCTATTTAACTCCTGTTAAAATGTTTCTTAAGGAAGCAGTGATAAAAACAAAGAAAGAGATGCAACGATACCTGGAAAATGAGCTGAAGAGGGAATCTGAAGCTGCAGAGCAACGCATGGCTCACAAACTTCAGCGCATCTTGATGGAGTGTGCTTTGGAAAAGATGCAAGCTGTAGCTGCTGCCAGAAAACAAGAGAGGCAGGCAGCATCCCAAGAAATGGCCAAACAGCAAAAGTATACTTTTTATTTTCTAAAGTTTAACTGTTCATTCATTTTATAACAATAAGCAAAAATGCATACACCAACAGTAAGCGAAATACCTGAGGAATTTCTGTGGCACCTATCTTCATAGCTCTAATATCCTAACTAGAATTCTGCTATGCAATTCATAGAGTGTATTGAAACATAATTAAAGAAACAACACTTAACTACATCAACATTGCTCATTACCTGACTTTCAAGAAACATCAATATTGTTTAAAAATATTTGACCCGAAATTCACAAGATATTTTTACTGTGAAAAGTGACTTGAAATTAGTATTGTGGGCTTTCAGGCATATTGTATCTCACTAATTTCATATCAAATTTAGTTTAGAAGCAACATTTTTTTTTACTAATTGCCAACACCACAAACAGAACCTGAGCCTTGAAAGTCAAGCTTTGTTCATTGTGTCATCACCACAAATAAAAATTTAGCAGATCAAATTCTGCCCTGACTTACACAACATAAAACCCAATTTCTGCATTTGAATGCAATGGGATTTTACATATTAAACCCAGGCCAACAACTGGCCTACAATTGGAATTTAGTTAATTATGTTAATAGTGTTTGATACTTAATAATATCCTGCTACTTCTCCCATAAGATTAGCAAGGAGTAAGATTTATTTTTTATCTCTAATGCCAGCAGAAGTAATTCTAAAAACCTCAAAGAGTAGATAGGATTTATGGGGCCCTAAGCAGTATTATTAAACTGTTGCCCTGTGCCTGATGGCAGCTAGAGGGGGATGACAATTTTTTAGAGATGTGATTTTATAATCTTCAGCAACACACTAATGAAATACACGTTGGACCTCCCTAGTCCTGCACCCTCAGGACCTAGTTGGTCCCAGAAAAGAAAGTTTGCCCAAACAGGGGAGGTCCAGCTCTGTCGGGGACACTGGCCTCCTGGCCAGTTCCCTCCTGGCCACTGGCTCACTCCTGGTCTCAGTGACTGCCGGGCTGGCCAGACTCCTCTCCCAGTCCCCATCGGTTGCCGGGTTGGCTGAGCTGCACTCCTGGCCCTTGGCAGCTGCTGGCCTGTGCTCCCAGTCCCCAGCGGCTGCTGGGATGACCAGGCTCTGCTCCCAGCCCTTGACAGATGCCAGGATGGCCAACCTCCAATACCAGCCCCAGCAGCTCCTAGGCTGTGCTCCTGGTGGCAGCCAGGCTGTGCTTCCAGTGTCTGCCAGGCTACATTCCTGCCCCTGGCAACTGCCAGGCTGTGTTTCCCCAGCAGTTGCTGGGCAGCTGTCCCAGCAGCTACTGCGCTGCTCTCCCTGTTCCCAGTGGCTGCTGGCTGTGCTTCGCTGCTGGCCCCCCAGGTTGCAAGCCACTTGCCCCTCTGATGCCAGACTCTCAACCAACAGCCGCTGGGGCACTTGTCCAGCTACATCCCTGGTCCTATGGACCACCGATGTTGCCGGACCAGAGAGTTCCAGACCAGAAAGGTTCAATATGTATTTTTTTTAATTGAATTAATATCCTGTAGATTAACACAGTAAATTCAGAAACTGACAGTATATATATTTGGGTTGGTAAAGGTGTGTTAAATGGCTTCCTTATCACTTGAATGGCTCTGTCACAGGTTCAATATTCTGCTAATAGGTCGGGCAGGTTTTTTCACTTTTTAGTTAACTAGATCCTCTCCGGATTGAAGCACAACCACAGAACAGAGATAGGAAGAGGCAAGTGAGTGAATATTAAGACCCAAATTTTTGGATGCCTTACACAACTGCATATGGATAAGGACAGCTCTGAGAGCAGATCTGTTGCATACGAATGTTCCCTGTTTAAACAGCCATTTTTCAGAATAGATTCTCACTGTAGTTGATATGTTATGTAATAATTTCATTCTCACAATTAAAACAGGGCCCAGTCTTGGCAGTCCTTTTTTCCACGGATAAATTTGGGTTGGTAAAGGCGTTTTACTATCTTAGCTTGTATCTTCAGATTCTCCTGTCAGTTGAGTTCCTATGGGACCTGGTAAAAATTAAAACTCCTGCACAAAATTGAATAGCTGGAAAGAATTTCCCCTATGGCACTAGCACTGGGCACGCCATGGAGATATCCTTTGTATTTTCCTGAGCCAGCTTAACTGAATTGCATTCACTGTGTTTGGGCAATGTTATAGAGTTTATACATTTTCTTACCTTATTTTAGCAGTACTGAATGCAGATGTATTTGATAAAACTTCAATAACAATTAGGAGTATATTTGTGGGCTACAAATCAATGATTAGCCTCAATTCAGGAAGCATTCCTATTTGGAATGGCGCTATAAAAAATTATTTAAAGTTAAAATGAAGAATATGAAATTGATTCTTCATGTTCTCTCCCCCTCCCCCTCCACACACACACTATTTGTTTAATTTTACATTTATTTTGAGAATAGTAACACTTTCCATCCTCACACATGCACCATTACAATAATACCATCTGGTATACATATTGGAACTGATCTTCCACAGATATAAATCAGTATAGCTCCATTTAAGACAGTGGAGCTATGCCAGTGTTTCTCAAAGTGGTCAGCGAAACCACTTTGAGAACCTTGCTAACTGGTCGCTCCGCCTCGCAGCTCCTATTGGTTCCATTTTACCATTTGCAGCCAAGGGGGCCTGTGGGAAGCAGCATGGGCTGGACCACTGTTTGCCGCAGCTCCCATTGGCTGCAAACGGTGAAAATGGAGCCAATAAGAGCTGCAAGGCTCCATAGCTGCGGCGCTGGTAAGTAAACACACAGAGATGGCCAGTTAGCAGCCTTCTCAAAGTGATTTCACGGACCACTTTGAGAAACACTGAGCTATGCTTCTATATACTATCAGAGGAACAGTCTTTCTCTGATCCTGTTTTAGTCTTGTTGTCATTTTATTTCATGTTACAACTTCATTTACTTTTGTATTCAGAAACTGTATATTTAATAATCATTCATAATTCATTAAACGTATCCTAAAGTTACTTTACAAATAATTTTTTTTAAACAGAAAGTATACAGAGCAACTCCTGGAAGCTGGGCATTTGGCTAATGAAATGTATCAGAAGAACCTGGATCAATTAAAAGATGAAAAATGTTACGAAATGAGTGTTGCTTTAGACATCACTCAAAAAGAAAATCAAGCGGAGAATGAAAAGCAGCTCAAAGAATCAGAGATAACACATCAGGCTAAATATGGAGAAGTAATGACCTGCCTAATAGAGAAAGAAAGTCAAGTACAGAGTCTTACCCAACAGCTGGAAAGCATGACAGCTTGGAAAGACAACCTTGAAGGTGAAATAGAAGAAACAAGACAATCCTTTCAAAACTACATTGATATTACATTTCCTACGCTGGCCCCAGGACAAGCAGATTTTATCTTGCCATTCAGAAAGAGACTTGATTGAACACAGGGATACAAAAAAGGAAGCAACAGAGAGTGACAAAGAATGTAAAGACGAGATCGATGTGAGATGTACTGAAAGTGCAGATCAGCACTTCAAGTAGGCAGTGGTGAAAAATAAATCAATTTCTGTTCACTGCACTAAACATGATTTGCTGTGGGTTAAGGACAAATAATCATTACCATATTAACTAATGAACCAAGCTTAGGAAGGATTTAATCATATTCACTTGTTGCCTGATCTTTAGATTGTGTATTAATTTTATAGATTACTTAAAAATTTCCATTTTGAGGGCTGACAGGTCCTTGTCCCAGAATCAGGCCCAGTATTTAAATTATTCTGTGGCTGGGGACCCTGATGTGCAGTTGCAGCATTCACACTATAGGAACTCTTGTATATTTAGAAATAGTTTATTACGGTTAGCACATTCACAAATACTCCAACTTCACATGATAGGTAATGTACATCTATATTTCCATATACTCACCCCATTCTTCTACAACAACCTGAAGCGTTATCCATCAGCTTCCTCACCATCACCTTCCCCATTGTCACAATGGTCATCACTATTAGCGTCTACACTGCCCCTTCTTGTACAAGAAAAACCCTCTTGCGCAACGCCATTCTTCTTGAAAAGTAATAGGTGTAACGGCGTTGCGCAAGAGGGTTTTTCTTGAGCAAGAAGGGGCAGTGTAAACGCTCCTTCTTGCGCAAGAGCCTCTTCTGAAAAAAATGGTGGCTCATTAGGTATGCAAATGAGGCTCGACGATATTCCACAATTAGCCTCATTTGCATATTACTTGCGCAAGAAGCTGCAAGTGTAGACATAGCCTGTCTCTCCCATCTCCAAATAAAACTTTTATTTGGAGCGCACAGGTTATTTTTGCAGACTTAAAACTATTAGCCTATAAACAAGACCATCCGAAGGGGGGTGCAGGAGGAGCAACCCCCTTCCCACTGCCAGCATAGTGATTGTGGAGGGGGGCAACCCCTCCACAGGTAGGGGCTTGGGTCCTTCCTGTACACAGAACAAATGGGGTGACTGCCACAGGGCCCCGAAAAGCACAGGACCTGGAGTGGCTACCTTAACCATCCTGTGGATGTCATCATAGGCTCTTCCTATAAATATTTACATTTAATAATTAGGCTACACCATTTTCAGTGCATACACTCAACTTCATTGTTTTTGACCATTTTTTAATATTGCCTTGTGTTCTGAAATTTATTTTGAAACAGATTTTCATTTTCTTCTCATTTTAAACTATTATATGCTACCACTTGAAATTAGGGATGTGAATGGTTTAACCCATACGGGCTGGGCAGCTCCCCACCACAGAGCCCACCATGGACAGGGGCTGCTCAGCTGGATATGAGGAAGTACAAATGAGGAGTAAGGAAAACATACTCTACTGAATATGCATCAAATATAACAACATCAAGGTACCATCTTAGTCATCGTAGCTCAAGGGTGGTCGGAAAAGGAATTGCAGTCCATATTACTTGCGCAAGAAGCCACGAGTGTAGACATAGCCACAGGCTGCGTCTAGACTGGCAAATTTTTCCGCAAAAGCAGCTGCAAAAGCAGTTTTTTTTGTGGAAAAACTTGCCAGCTGTCTACACTGGCCGCTTGAATTTCCGCAAGAACACTGACGATCTCATGCTGCTCCTGTTTGGGTAAAAGTGGTATTGTTTTGCGCAAAAAAGCCCCAATCGTGAAAATGGCAATCGGGGCTTTCTTGCGCAAAACCACGTCTAGATTGGCCACGGATGCTTTTCCGCAAAAAGTGCTTTTGCGGAAAAGCGTCCGTGCCAATCTAGACGCTCTTTTCTGCAAATGCTTTTAACGGAAAAACTTTACCGTTAAAAGCATTTGTGGAAAATCATGCCAGTCTAGACGTAGCCAACAGTGTTTCTTAAACTCCACAGTAGCCTTGCGTTTGGGTTCTGCAGCCAAGCACACGCAGCTCCCTTCAGCAAAGCCTCCATCTGCTGAAGACTGGCCCCCGCCTTTCTGGCCACCAAACCAAACCGCATATTTACCCCGAAAAAAGACGATGAGAATGATTTTCACCTGTTTGGTGGTTGTGGTGCTAAACGCCGATAAACTGCTGGGGCCGGGAGGGGGCACAGCCTGGCTACGCCAGTCAAAGGAGCCAGCCAGGGCAGAGGGCCCCTGGGAGCTGCTGGCACGTGTGCAAGGCAGGTGCTGAAATGCACACCAAACCAAACCGCATATTTACCCCGAAAAAAGACGATGAGAATGATTTTCACCTGTTTGGTGGTTGTGGTGCTAAACGCCGATAAACTGCTGGGGCCGGGAGGGGGCACAGCCTGGCTACGCCAGTCAAAGGAGCCAGCCAGGGCAGAGGGCCCCTGGGAGCTGCTGGCACGTGTGCAAGGCAGGTGCTGAAATGCAAAGGCGCCAGCTACGAGGCGCTGAGCCCGGCGGTTATTAATGTGTCAGCGTCCCGCCAGCGCTCGCGGGGCGACGGCAGCTTTGTGCCTCCAGCGCCCCTGGCGGGGCCCCAGCCAGCGGGGTAGCTACCCCCCGCCCGCCAGTCACCGCGCGGTAGGGCCTCTCCGCTTCGGAGGGCAGCCCCGCCCACTGAGGAGCCGCGTTCTATCCCCATGGCAACACGGGCGGCCCGCTGCGGAGGACGCCTCGCTTTCCAGAGCGTCTGGGGCAGGTAGATGCTGTTTGTCCGGGCGGGGGCGGGATCTCTCCTGGGATGGGGCAGGGGAGTCTGGGGGTGGCTGCGCCGGCTCCTGGGGGGGACGGAAATGCCGCTTTCCAGATGCAGGGAATCCCCCCCTCCCCCCACGGGCGCATCGTACATGCAGCGCGGGGCGCGGCAATTTACGCGCTTCCTCGCGGAAGGTCCCTGTTCCATTCCAGGCCCCCAGCCGGAGTAACGGAAACGAGCGTCGCTGGGGCCGTGTCCCCTCCCGAGCCTCCCGCGCTCCCTTCCCTGGTGCGACCCGCTGGGCGCATCTCATTTACCCGGGGGCGCCATGGAGGCCGTGCCCAGCAGGGGCAGGCTGGCTGCCGGGCGAGTCTTGTGCTTGTGAAAAGCACCAGAGCGATGCTCTCTGAAGTCCCGCGTTTACCCCCCGAAGAGGTGCAGCAATAGAAGCTACCCGCGCTGGCAGTGCGCGCCTGGCTCGTTCTGGAGCTATCCCCTGGCCTCTAGGGCATGAGGGTAATTCCGTTTGCATGGCCTTTTCTGAGACGCCTAAGAAAGATGTAATTTGGTGCCAACCGTAGTGTATTGTGGGGCCGTTTGATTGTACAAAAATAATTAGATTTTTTGGGGGGGCGGGGAAGGGGTGAATTTTTCACAAACATTTTGTAAAGACAAGCCTCTGTTTTTCAGTGAGCTCTGATTGAAGACACCTAGCTAGGAACTGAAATGAAACCAATACTCACTTCACACTGAATGGGCAGCAGAGGATAACAATATTCAGTCACCAGGTTAGAGCTGAATTTGTGATGTAGAAGGCTCAGCATCCTCTTACCCGTCTCCAAAGACAAATAACAGGAACTCCAAATAATCTTTCAGTTAAAAGATTTAAATAATAATTTTATTTCATTTCTTAAACACATAGAACACAGGAAGTTCGTATAACTGTCTTTGGAATCCTGGGGTTGATAAATAACCAATTGTTCAGTAATTTGCCATTAATCAGAATTTTGCCTCGTGTCAGAGATATTGTTAATAATTTTAGTGAGTTTTTTTGTTCCTTCAACTTCAAGGAGATGTCTGCTGATATGAAAAATCGTTTTGTTCCCTTTAAGCAGATGCATTTTTTATTTGCTTTTGTGTTGATTGCTGAGTTAGTCCTTTCCATCTACAGTAATAAGAAATAGTCCATCTGTCAGACAAAAGCTATCTGAGTAATCCTTTATAATGAGTTTCTGTATTTTCCTTCAAATGTTGTTTCGCGTTTGTTTCTTATTGTTTGGAAATATTCTTGTCACTTTTGGTCCAGGGAACCATAAATCATTTGTGATACTTAGTCAAGTTATTATTGAAAATTTAAGTGGCTGAGGGTGCTAAAAGAAGATACGTAATCTCACTACTGCTGCACTGGGGAAAATAGAGGTTGAAATACAAATGTATGATGCACTGTAATAAACATCACACCTGTTAATGTATTGTTGGTCCAGAATGTCTCACTCTCAGGCTGAAAGTGTCATAAGGAACATCATTCGAGAAATAGGACAAGAATGTGCCATGAAAGGACAAACTGTGTCTGAAACATTGGTAGCTTTCATGGTAAGAATTAAGTATTTTATCCATTGATTATTTTATTTAAATGACTTCAAGTCATGTTAATAATCCCCTAAGCTTAATAACATATTTTCACTGAACAGGCAGGTTCAAAGATTTAGAAGTTGAACATGTTAGCCACGATTTTCAGACTCTGTTCTTAAATAGTTGCAAGGCTACAGCCTAATTTTACTCACTGTGAGTAATTCCCCATATAACATATTTTGCTAATCTGCAGGTGAAAGCTGTTGTTTTAGATCCAAAGAATGAATTTAATGTGGATCGAACGCTCACAAAAAATGATGTGCAAAAGCTTATTAAGGTAATTCTGAAAATTCTCCAAAAGTTCAGAAATTTTGCATACTTCTTTATAAATAAAATTTGAACATCTACTGTGTAGTTATAGTAACAACAGTTCTGCTATTGCCTTGCACGAGCTAACAGATGCATTTATGCAGAGCACCCAGTATTGTTGTATGTTCATTGGGAAATCTAAACAATCTTAACTGGTGGCTAAGAGCGATGTTCTGGTAAATTACAGAGATCTCAACATAATTATTAGAGGGTAGATGAAGATTAGATTAATGAAAATGTTTTGTCTCTTGAAGCTACAGTATAACCAGATATTGGAGAAAAGAGAGCGAGAATAGCAAACAGAAATATTGGAAGCATCTTTAATTTCTTTTATCAGTTCTAGTTGGAGATTTAGTTACAAACATCCATCAGAACTTAAATACTAAATAATGCCAGTTTTTAGGTTGGTGATTATTATCTACCTGATCAATTTCCTAAGCATTTTGAAAGCTAGTATCATATTTCATTCTTATGGTTCTTTAGTCAAGAATGGATTTTGCATTTCCTAAGGTAGTTTATACCTACTTATCATTTTCTGTTGGGAGAATGGGGAGAGCAGGGCTCAATTGCTGCTGACAAAACAGTAACACTGTTATTGATGTTTCAGAAAATTCATAATGGTCAGAAAGAATTAACTTTTACAACTCTGTTCTTAGCTCTGTGTTGGTAGACTTCTTGATACAGCAAATCCATCCCTGGACACTATTAAGATGCAAGTTTACTTTGATATGAATTATACAAACCGAGGTAATTTTAACATGTATAAGTATTAAATATGAGTGTGAGATAATAAATCTTGCACTTAAATATATTGTTTTATTTGTACTTTAATATTAATCTTTATTGGCATACTAAATGCATGTGACAGCACAGCAAAATAAGATAATAAAATGAGCTTGAAGTTGAAAGTATAGGCAAAATTCTATGACTGTAGATTAAATCACTACTTTAAAAAGAGTTCTCAGAATATGCCTTGAGGTAAGTATTACTTTCCTTGTTTCAGAAGTGGTAAAACCATGGGAAAAGTGTTTCCTAAGTCCACAGAATAAGTAAATAGCAGAATAGGAAAAAGAAATAAGGAGAAGTTGATTATGTTTGGTCCACTAGACTTTCGCAGCATCTCAACTCTTTTAACTGTAGCGATTTTGTTTTTTTTTAATTGGGGAAATTTTGAGCTCTATTATGATCAATTCAATTGTTGTTGAAAACTGTTCTAGATCCTCTGGGATAGATACAGTAAGAATTTGGGTATAGAATAGGATAGGTCTGTAATAGGCTCTATGGGGTATAAGATACAAGTGGGGTATTGCTGTGCTCCCTTAACTCTCCTGTCTGAGCTCTCTCTCTCAATCCTTTGCTAGTAACAAGCAATAAAACCTCACCTGGCACTACTATGACTGAGTACAACAGCATGTTTACTCCTAAGGGAATTCTGTGCACAATATTTTAAAATTCTGCAAAAATTTGCATATTTATTTGTCAAGATAACACATTATAATCACTCAATTTTTCAATTATTTACTGACAGAATTTTGAAATAAATTACCAAAATAATTGAAATTGTGTAATTATATCATTGTGTTTGTGTTATTTTACAATTAAAATATGCAGGGAGCTGTTCCCCTTATCTGCCCAACCCTCATGCAGCCAGACTCCCATTCACTAACCCTTCACTGAGCTTCATCTCCATGCAATTGGAAACCCTCTCCTCCCACATCAAGCCAAGCCTCATGCAATAAACCTGTGATGCACAGCTTCCTGTAGTCGAGGGAAATTTCTGGGGCTGATCTGGTTCAGCCTGGGATGCTCTGTGCAGGGAAGGATGAGGGAAGACTCTGTCTCTGTCTTCCTCCTCCCTGCTGGGTGGCCACTGGCCAGGGCATCCCCAAAGCCATGACTCGCCCCCTCTCCCTCACAGTGATTTATCTTTCCTCTGAGCTGCCTGGAGCAGTGAGTGAGCACTGGCTGGTGCACCTTTTCTTTGCTTCCCCATAGCAGCCATTTTCTGCAAAGAAGCAAAGGGATTCTGTGGAGATGGAACAAGCATTTTTTGTTGCTGTACTGCAGTTGCATAGAATTTCCCCAGAAGTAAGCATGTGGAGCCTCACACCCAACTAAATTGCATGAATGCTCCCTGAGCCACTTATAAATCACACAGAGGAAGGCCCCAGCAAACCTCCAAAAGCCCCCTGCTTTTCACCCCAAAATTGTACTTTCTTGCCACAGTCAGAAGCCTGACCAGAGTAAGTCCATTACCCAGTCTGCCTCGCAATGTGAATAAGGCCGTGTCCAGACTCAGGGGTTTTTTCGGGAAAAGTAGCCTTTTCCCGAAAAAACTTCCCCTGCGTCCAGACTCAAGCCGCGTTCTTTCGAAATTATTTCGAAAGAACGCGGCTTTTCTTTCGATGGCGGTAAACCTCAATTTACGAGGAAGAACGCCTTCTTTCGAAAGTTCCTCTTTCTAAAGAAGGCGTTCTTCAATGTAAAGAGGCCGTCTTCGAAAGAGAGCATCCAGACTCGCTGGGTGCTCTCTTTCGAAAAAGCGGATTTCTCTTTCGAAAGATCCGCCTGCAGTCTAGACGCGATCTTTCGAAAGAGGCTCTTTTGAAAGATGCTTTCGAAAGAGCCTCTTTTGAAAGAAGCCTGCAGTCTAGACATAGCCTTAGATACACACTGGTCTTTATATATTGAGCTGAGATTTCCCAAGCACTTAAATTAAAAACTCTGTTTTAGGTAAAATATAAAACACATTTGTTAACTACAGAAAGATTGATTTTAAGTGATGTAAGTGGCAGGCAAAAAAAGGTCAGAGATAGTTACCAAAGAAAATAAAAGGTAAGCATGCAGTCTAAATTCTGACCCTTATTAAACTGGGCAATATTGGGGACAAACAGTTTTTGCACCCTCTGGATGTTAGAGGTAGGTTACAGTCCTTAATAGATAGTCTTTTCCTTTAAGCCTGAGACCAGTCTTCTCTTCCCAGCATTCTTGTTGCTTACTGCATAGGTGGAGAAGAAAAAGGTAAAAGCACAATGCCGCTGTCCTTTATTTTGTACTCTTAGGCTATGTCTGCTCTGCGTACCTTACAGTGGCATAGTTGTGCCACTATAGCCAAGCCACTATAGCCAATAAGGACTACAGTGTAGCCACTTTTATGGGCAAGAAAGAGCTCTCCTGCCAGCAAAATAAAACCATCCTCAATAAGAGGTGGTAGCTTTGTCTGCAGAAGCGCATCTGCCACCAAAAAAGTGCTGTCCATGATGACGCTTTTTATTTTTAAAGATTTTGTCGATAAGGAGGTGGGATTTTTTTCATACCCCTGACTGACAAAAGTTTAACTGTTAAAAGTGTAGTGTAGCCTTAGTCCTTGTTCCTGGCATGCTTGATGGACCTGTTGAATCACAGAATTGAACAGTCTCTAATGTATGATGTTTCTCTTGCAGAATGCAAATCCTTTGTCCGTGGGTAGTAGGTGAAGCCCCCTTTTGAGGAGGCTAACCCCAGTTCCAGCTCTTCCATCCATGCCCCCTGCAGCTGTAGCCCCAAGACTACTTCCTCCCCCACAGCCAGAGGACTTGCAAGACTCAACACATACAGAGAAGCCCTGGGCCGTCTGAAACTCCAAGGCCCCTGTCCATAGGAGTCCCAAGCCAGCTGCAGCCACTACTTCCCTCCTGAGCCCTTAAGCCGCCCAGAGAAAAGCGTCTTAGACTCTCTCCAGAAGAAATTTTGATATGCCCTTTGCAGGTTCTGGGATGGCTGAAGATGTGATATTTGCTACTCAGATTCCTGGGTTATCAATAATCTACCTGGGCTCCTCTGCCAAATAGCACATACTGCCTTCTCAGCTGCTCCAGAACCTGCATGGAGCATAATAAATAAAAAACTCCTCCCCAAACTTCTGCAACCAGGATTATGGCAGCTGCAGCAGCCCCAGCACCAGGGGAGGCTGAGCATATTATACCTACTGCCCATGCCTTTGTTGATTCCCCTGCTGATTAATGGTTGTTTAATACCCATCTGGATGTGGATTAACTCCTTCATTGTTACTGGAGAACAAACAAGGGACAGCTTCCAAACATATTTCAATAACAACCATAAGTAAATATCATACCTTCATATGCACTAATGAGATACATATTTTGACTGAACAGTAGGTTTCAGCATAGCATGACCTTTCTTATATATCGGTGTAGAGAATCTTTTTTGGGTCAGGGACCACTGACCCTCAGAAAAATCAGTCAGACAAACCCACAAACCAAACTCTCACTGGGATGTGGCCTTCAGCTGAGAAGGAAAAAGACACTCCCCACATTCCCTTCACACACCAGAGCCTGGCAGGGGGGCAACCTAGTAGACTTTGTGTGCTCCACTCCCCAGTGCTGGGGGGAGAGTCTTGGGGGCTAAATCCAGGCAAGCCAGGGGCTGCATCCAGCTCCTGGTCTTTAGTTTCTTCACCTCTGCTGTATATCTTACATGTCATACTTTGTACAGAATATATCATAATTACATGACAGTGGTGAATATGGGCATTTGGAAGTGCTGTTTTGAGGTACAATGTACCATAAGGTATAGCTTGGGAAGTACAGAGTTACAGCATGCACACAGCACAGAAAAAAGTATAATGGATTGGAAGCAGGGGAACACTAACTATTTTTTTTAAGTGAGAAATTGCCTTTATTGAAAGGCATTGTTATAGGTTCTTTAAACCAAATTCTTCTCTCATTTACACTGATCCATTAACTTCACTGAAGTTACTCTAGACCTGTGCTTGTATGACCTGAGAACAGAAATTGTCCATTTGTTGATTTTCGCAGTTGAGAAGAGATAGTATGATTGGGCCATCTGTTTTAAATTGATTGAGTTTGCATAGTCCAGAGATTGTTTTACCCTGGGATTGTAATATTTTTATTTTGTATGTCTACACTGCAGAGATTTTCAGAAAAATGGCTGTTTTTCCAAAAAAACCTTCACTTCCATCCACACTGCAATCATGTTCTTTCAAAAGAAAGTCAAAAGAACAGATGTTTTTTTCCCAACATTGGTGAGCCTCTTTCTACGAAGAAGAAGCCTTTTTCCGAAAGGGCTCTTTCGGAAAAAGGCTGTGTGGACAGGGAAGAGGGATTTCTTTCAAAAGAAGAGGAAAAAGCACAGGTGCCCTGATGGCCACTCCTTCCATAGTAATCACAGCTTAAATGCAAGATAGTGTCCATTCAGTGTGGACGCTATCTTTTGAAAAAGTAGATCACTTTTTCAATGCGATTTTGCTGTGTAGATGCTCTCTTTCAGAAGATCTCTTCTGGAAAAACTTCTTCCGAAAGAAACGTGCAGTCTAGACATAGCTCCACTATAGACAGCTACAGTATTTATATTTAATAACCAAAGATACGTATGTTGTCTCTGATCAGTGTCGATGCTCAGTGACTTAAAATAGCAGAGAATGGATGGATGGTGGTAGGAAAAGAGAAGGGGGAGAATGAGAATCACAGTGACATGCAGTATTTCTTGGGACAGAGATGACGGTGAGGCATAGGACATACCTAAGGCACCTGGGTAAACTGTGAAAATTATTTGAAAGATATTGCTGGCTAGCACTGGCTTTTGTAGTGGGTTTTAAAAATAAGCAAAGCTAAGGGCCTGATCCAGAGCCAATGAGATTTGGAGCAGGCCCAAAATGTACAAATAGCATGTTCAGCCCAAGAAAATCGTTACCAAAAATGAGACTAATACGTAGCTTTTAACATAACACTTCTCAAATGTCTTTCCTTCCCAGTTGAGTTACTTAATGAGCAGCATCGCATTCTAGAGGCCAGGCTGGCTCCTGTGAGCAGAGAAATCACAGATTATCGTGCTCGTACACGTGAAGAGCTGGAGAGCCTTTACCGAAAGATAGTTAGCTATGTTCTGCTACGTTCTGGCCTCGGATCCCCTACAGATATCAAAGTTGTTAGGGAGGCCACAGGTCAGTAATCAAAGTACGTGATACTAGGCATCGCTTATGGAAAAATAAAATCTGACCCTATTCTGCTCTGACACAGGGTAAATCTGGAGTAACTCTATTGACTTCAGTATAGTTCCTTGGTGTGTGGGGAATATTTGCTACAAATAGTCTGAATTTTAGTTAAGTAATTTCTATGTCATAAAATAGCTTGATTATGTATCAACCTGTTGCTTCATTATTTGTTAGTCTCCAACAATACGTATCGTAAAATTATTAATTTGTGAGTGCCCAAACACCTCTCCAAATCTAGAATGCACTCAGCTATTTTCATTCATCTAAAGAAGTGGGTTATGCCCACAAAAGCTCATGATACTATCTACATTTTCTCTAGCTACTGAAAGACTATTTGTTATTTCCATAGTGGTGGGAAAACAGAGCAAAACTATTTGTTTTTTCCGTAAGAAGGAGTTAGTTTTGCTTTCCTAGTATTTTCAGTTTCATTCTTATACATGCTATTTTTTTAAATCTTTTCAGCTGCCCTGCAGAGTGTGTTTCCCCAGACAGAGCTGGGTGTTTTTCTCTCTCTCAATAAGAAGGACAAAGAACGACAACTGAAAGAACTTACCATGATTGTCACAGGAATTCGGTTATTCAACAAGGAGTGTGGAAAAGGAGGAGAAGGAATTGATGACTGTAGGTATAATACTGAATTAAAATTATGAGCCCTGAAACAGTCTTTTCTTGCCTCTAGCCCCATGACTTCATGCTACTTAAGATGAGCATGATTTGGCCCCAGTATCAGTAAGCCTGAAGGAAAAACAAACTGACTATTAGATGAATGAATTGTATAATGGTTAAGGCTAATCAAGGAAAATGTCAAAAAGGTACTGTCAGATGCCTTTAATATTGCATGAGTTGTTATACATTTTGGGGGCAGAAAATACATACATTCTGGTAAACCAATGTCGTTAAATATTTCACAGCTAAGTACAGCAGAATTATTATTTAAATGGCTGTTCAATGGAAATAAGATTGAGTCAGTCTTCTAGTATTTTTTATTTTTATATTACAGTGTTGCTCAGATCCTTCATGGCGGGGTGCTGGTGGTGTGGGGATTATAAGAGTCAGGGCAGGGATTGAGGA